ACCTGCCTGTCTCTCTACCTGTCTGTCTCTCTACCTGCCTGTCTCTCACGCCACCACGAGTCTTCCACAACCTGCTAGCTTGACGGCTGTGAGTAGTAACATCAGCCATGTTCGTTGTTTACGTTCTTTATGATAATAATAAACAGGCAGGCAGTGTTGCCGACTTGCCAACTTTCTTGCTAGATTTAGCGACTCTTGGAACTAGTGCTGTTAGCTACTTTCAATGGAAAACAGTTGGCAACACTAGGCCGGGTCTTTAGGTTGGATCATTTTTCAACTCTAGCGTACTCTTGCTAGTTTCTCAAGATTACCAACCCTAGTTTTAAGTAATTTTTCAAGTAAAAATTCCAAACATTCGATAATTTGCTGCTTTTTTAAGTCTTACATGAAAGCAATCTCTGAAGCACAACCTGAGCAAGCAGTTAACGATACCGCTACTGTTATGAAAGAACAACCAGTCACCAGAAAAGATGTTAGCATTGTACGTTTCTTGATGTTAAAAAGTATGTTTCATGTCCGCTTGGTTAACGTTGTGAAACGATTGGTTAGGTTTAGGAAATAAGACTACTTGATGATGGTTGGAATAAAGACCATGGTTTGTGTTGAAATAATAAAGTAATAACATAACAATCTTAATAACATAATATATCATTGTAACGTAACAAACGTAACAACGTAACTACCGTGAATAAATAACAATCACCCTTACGGGACATGAATGGGGATCTCCTGGGTGAAAGTCCTGTGTTTGTTGACCCATCTATCACTTCCCCAAACACATTTAGCTTGTTCTACTCGTTATTACACACGTAACTTTCAATAACAGTCACTCGCAATACAACGTCGCTTTCTCTGCACCTTGCTCGTTGTGCTTGCTCACTTGCTCTGACCGAATGCTAACACGTCGACATTCAACATATCCGTGATTTTCAGAAAAAGTACAATGTCAAAAAAAAAATTCTGGCAACTGGGCTGAGCATTGGTAGCATACTTACATACACTAGTATGTTACCTATACATCTACTTCTGCTGCAACTACTACTGATAGTACTGATGTTGCCTACAGCAACTACTAGACAACCACTCCTATCACTATTTCCTAATCTTGATACCGTCATTCACACTGTGGACTCCCTCTTCTGTCTTTAGTCCACTTTGAAGTATTTATGCTCTGCAAGGCCTCAAACATCATGTCAATAAACTTCAATGTTGTCTTTTTTGTAATTGCTTCCCATGCATTCTTTCAAGTTAATAGACCAGTGACTCCATTCCCGACTAAACTGCTGCATATTCCCTAGAATTTCCTGCTGATGTTCTTACAGCAATGACTGGATAGCAAAACATTTCCTGCTGGTTATTTGTCTGCACATGTTTCCCATAACTCACCTCCAAACTTGGCACATTCCCTTCCCTTTCCCCTCCCTTTGCCGTGATTAGGTCAGAATGAGCTGGGCTGTGAGATGAATGGCAGGAGGTTGGAGGAGGGACAGGCATTTCAACCTACCTGTGCCCAACTCTGCCACTGCCTCGGGGGAGGGGTGACCTGCATGCCCCTGTGCAGCGATGATCTGCAGAGGCCCGCTGATACGTGTCACAACCCTCAGCTGGTGCGACTACCGGGGCGCTGCTGCAAAGAGTGGTTGTGTGAGGGCCTGGACAACAGCATTTCCTCAAATCCATCAGCAGGTAATAGGGTGATGATCAACAACACCAAACAAATATGGCTGGAAACATATCAACAGAGGTTAGATGATCAGAATTGTAATTGCTGTTCTACAGTCTGGCTATTAAGAGTCATATGAAAGAGTAAAATGATTCAAATATAGCTATTTGAAGACTTCAGAGGCGTTTGCATCTCATCCCTGCCAGCAAAAGACTGAAGGAATCGACCACTCGCTAAGTCCCGACCCTCTAGCGTAGACTAGCCAATCATAGCATAGCATCAGCCGGCTCCAACCAGGGTCTGACAACTACCTTAACACATCATTACCACTTCTGGGGTTTAGGTCTGGGGTTTAGGTCACCCAATTGACATTTAGGTCAATTGGGGGATTTTCAGCTGGTTCCTGACACAGTCAATACCAGAATGTATAAGGTCACTTTTGGGTTGTGGTGAAATAAACAGATTTTAATACCAAAGAGGTGTCAGGACGATCAAACATCTGTGTGAAACATCTGTGAGAGCTATTCTTAGCAACCCAACCTCGCCTTTGCAGCAGTTTACAACATTCCAGACTTGCATATGTGCTGCGTTTTCTGGCTTATGAGCTCTCATCAAATCTGTTCACTTTAAACAACTTGCAGCTTGGTGCAGAGAGTGAATATTTTCTTTTTCTGGGTTTCTTTCCAGCTGAGCAGACGCGTCAGGACTACGGGCGCGGGCTGTCTGGCCCGTCGTTTGGCTCCATCTCCAACTGTATCGAGTGGACCTCAGACTGGAGCCCCTGCTCCCACAGCTGTGGCCCAGGTGTATCCACCCGCAACACAAACAGGAACTGGGCTTGCCGCCTGCAGACTGAGACCAGACTGTGCCAGGTCAGGCCCTGCCAGACTCTGATGCCAGGGATCCGAACGCTGCAGCCGGTCAGTGCATAATTGACACACATTAATCAGTTACAGTCACAGGTCCAGGGATCAATCACAAGAACGTGTATACCATTTACAAATGCTTTGAGTGATGTTCTGCTTTTCCATTTTCATCCACTCGATATCATATAAATATAATATTACAAACAAAATCCTCTGAAAATACTGTAAAATCACTGTATGTAAAAGAATCCAAAACTATATAGGCTACTAGAATGACTTACGTCACTATTATAAAACTTTATTTCCTTATCAGTGTTTTAGGAGTTCATTTTTTATTTATGTCCTTTCTGTTTAAAATGTTGTTTTCCAATTTATTTTAATACCATTTCCTCCAGAGACGCTATCATTTTATAATGTCACTTGTAGTGACACAGAGTTGTTCTCAGTAGATCTTTTCCACATTGGATATTTTGACTGCGGTTTTAGGTACATTTTCACATAATGTCCTAGCTCACATTTCCCACACTGTTGAACACAGGTGATAATCTTTGGGTAGCTAGGTTTGCTCTGCAGATCAAGCCTGAATTTACCGCTTTGTCCTCTTGTTTTGATGTTTGGCAATCCTCTCAGAAATATGTTTAAAATCCTGAAAGCCTGTTCTTGATCAGGTACCGCCCTCTCAGCAACACACAGAGGAAGCAAAAGGGCATCTTCTCTGACAAGCTAGCAGGTATCCTCTTCTTCCTGTAGAACAACTCCATGTTAAAACTTTAAAACTTTAAAATTTTTACCAGAGGTTTGGTTTATAACTATATCCCAAAGCTGGTGGCAACTGTCTGTTGCTGTGTCGCTTCCATTACATTTCATGTTGTACGACCGTGTCTCACTGGGTTAAGAGGGTTGTCTGGTAAGTTCAGGGTCAATGGTTCAATCCTCGACTGGGACGTGTCACGTGTCGTAGTGTCCCTGAGCAAGACACTGAACCCCAGGCTCCCCAGGTGCCTGTCATTGGCAGCCCACTGCTCCCTATATACAGGGATGGGTCAAATGTAGAAGGCAAATTTCGTGTATATGACAATAAAAATGGTTTCTTCTTTCTTTCTTAAATATTGTGCTGGTAAGAAAAGTCTCAAGTCAGATATAAAAAGACCTGGAAATCTAGAATTATACACATCGCTGAATATGTAACAAGAGTAACCACATAATTACTACAATGTTTCCTGTCACTGTGTATTTCAGGGTCCGGGGGTGTGCGAGAGCAGCTACAATTCACCTCTGTCCATTCAGCTGGAACAGCAGGGCTGCTGGAGCACCAGAGCCTACCGTCCCAGGTTCTGCGCCTTGACCTGTCCGGAGGGACGCTGCTGCAGCCCCTCCCACACCAGGACAATGTGGATGGTTTTCCGTTGCCCTCAAAACAGGCTCACCCAGCAGCAGGTGATGATGATCGAGTCCTGCTCCTGCAGCATCTCCAACTGCCGCCAGTCCACAGCTGCCCGGAGTGTCCTGCCCTGGCCGTGAGCTGCAATGTGCATCCAGCTACAAGAGAGACGGGCGGGACCCGTCTGTGAGGAAAGTGACCAAATGTACACACATGATAGATGAAATTTATGGAAATATTACAACCAGGATGGGAAACTTGGCAATCGACAATAGCTGTTGTAGTAATAGTAGAGTATCAGGATAAATCCAGCAAGTACAGAGTTTTGTAAATGGGCTCTCAAATTTAAGAGCATGTACTGTAATGTATGTAAGTGAGATTTATGCAGTTCTCTGGACCTACAAACAAGAAAGAGGTCGCCCCATTCTGTTACATTTCTATACGACTTCAAGTGAATGCTCGTGTCTGCTGGATGTGTAAAAATATAATACTGATTTAAAGGTGCAATATATAAGAAATAGACAGAATTTTAGTTTAGAGTGTCCTGAAAGGAGTGTAAAGAGGTTACAGTGTTGATGTCGAAGAAGACTGTGTGTTATTTTTGTATTTTAAAATCTAAATCAAATAACCACTGATTCTTTTTAATAACTGTTTCTGAAAAGAAAATGGAATGACTGTATATAGTGTCACAGTAAACACACAGATGGCTAATGTAAGCTGTAGGCCAACCCCACACGTGAAGATTATAAGACAGCAGTGTTATTCCAATATGCTCTCAGAGTTTCAGCAGTTTGGTCGGCGATTGTGTGTTCTTGCCCTGCTGCTGGTTAGTATTTGGCTTTTTCTGTAAATGTAGATTGTATGAACCAATAGAGATGAATTGCTCCCCCGTTTGTTTGGCACATGTGTTTACATCTTACACAGTGTACCTTTAAAGTTCAGCTGTAATTAAATTGCACATTTAATGGCACACAGATTTGCTTCGTAAATCATAATTCATAATTACACAGAAAAAATGTATGGATTGTCAGTTTGGATGTCATGACGGCATCCTTCAGATTGTGCATGAAATGCTGTTATTTCTTTGAACGTAGACAGATTGACACTGCATTTGCATAAAGCAGCCACCATAAAAATGTTCTCATTGGTCGTCTACAAGCATGAACACACGTCCACCAGTCAGGGTGGTCTCAGAGCCAACATCTGCAAATTTGAGTGAGCCAACGGTTGGACAAAATGTAGATAACACACTGATTTTAGAGGAGGGGTGGTAATAATAGTTATATCAAACCGGACCCATTACACACATACATATTTTAAAGGGTCCTTATAGGATTTCGGGATGATAACTATGTTTTCAATATAATCATCTGAAAAAATAATCGTGTTTTCGTTAGCTTAGAATGAGCCCTTCATATCTGCAGAGGGAGCTGGTCTTCTTCACGGACTCCTCCATGTGGCACCCCCATGTTTCTGCAGGAGCCCAGAACGGACAAACCAAACACTGGCTCTAGAGAGAGACTTATGTGTGTTTACATTACCTGAAGGCCACCGTAGTTCTCCATCAGGCTTGGAAAGGAAGGGGTGACCAGAGGGGTTGAAATCTGTAACCTCTCCACTCGGTGCCATTAAATCCTACACCGGCACTTTAAATGATACAGATTCACATATCTGAGTGCACTCTCTCAAACCTGGGTTTGCTCTGTGCAGTGTTTGTTTGCAAATGTGAGGATGGATTCTTCATTTCTTTCTAAAAGATCTGTTTTAACTTCTAAATAAAGCTGCAGTCATTAAGAGAAATGTTGTCTGTTTAATCAAGAACACATCGCTAAATGCGGTTGAAAAAATGTTCAATAAAAGTGACTTGTTTTTTTTAACTAGTATGAATAGCACAATGGCATCTGGTTATCTACATTTGATTGGAACCTTGGCACACGATACACCTTGTTGTTGAAAGGTTATTACATAAACGTGTTTGACAAGAGGGAGGGAGTGTGTGACTGATTCAACAGGCAGGGCCACATCTCAAGGAGCTTTGATATCTTTAAGTCCATGAGACATGTGAATACCCTGGTAACTTTAAAAAAGTGATTTGACTAAACAACAGTTATTTGCGCGTGTGGACAGATGTGTCATGACAGGCAGAGATGATGGCAATGATTTCACAGGATGTGTGGTTTGTTTTCGGCAAATAGATGAGGTGCGATTTGTTTTTGTTTTTTTCAATTTCATTGCGTGCCGCGTGTGTATCACAGCCGCCTCCGCAGACTGGGAAGTGGGCGGGCGTATGTTGCTTTCGCATTCCCTTCCAGTATAACTTTGCGCGACGCACACGTAGTACCCAGAGGAGATGTGTGCTCTGGTTTGTGGATAAGTTCAGGTTCAACGAACGAGATATTTAAAAACAGCTATCATGGCTGGAAACGACACGCTCGGAGCCTGCGGGAAAATCAACCAGAAGTTAACGCACGCCTTACTGCCGCCCGTCTTCGTCACCGTGTTCGTCGTCGGGACGCTGTCCAACATCTGGGGGCTCCGGAGCGTGTGCGCCAGTTGGCGCAAAATCGGGAGCATCAACGTCTTCATGCTGAACCTGGGGGTGGCGGACCTGCTGTACCTGGCCACCCTGCCCTTCCTCGTGGTCTACTACGCGTGCAAGAGCCAATGGCTGTTCGGATATATTTTCTGTAAGGTGACGCGCTTCTGCTTCAACCTCAACCTGTACGGCAGCATCGGCTTCCTCACGTGCATCAGCGTCTACAGGTACCTGGGCATCGTGCACCCCATGTGGGTGATGGGGAAAATCACCAGCCGCCACTCGCTGGCCGTCAGCGCCCTGGTCTGGCTGCTCGTCATCATTCAGATCCTGCCCGACATGTTCTTCGACAAGAACGATGGGAATCCGAACTCGTGTTATGACACCACTTCGTTAGAGCAGATCCGAGGCTACCTGCCGTACAGCATCGGCTGGGCCGTCACGGGGTTCGTCGTGCCGTTGCTCATCATCCTGGTCTGTTACGGGCACGTCGTCGTGGTTCTCGCCACGAATGCCAACGTCAACCCGCTGCTGAAGCAGCGGTGCTTGAAGCTGGTCGTGATTCTGGTGATACTCTTCTCCGTCTGCTTCATCCCCTACCACGTGTTTCGAAACGCCAACCTGATGACCAGGATTATGAAAGAAGATGGGGAATGCCACCCGAGCTTCCGTGGCATCTACATCGCGCATCAGGTGGGCAGATGCCTGGCGTGTCTAAACAGCGCCTTAAACCCGCTCATTTACATCGTCGGGAACGACGAGTTCCTCATGAAGCTCCAACACCTCAGCGGGCGGGCCCGGCGGTCTCTGGCTGGCCTGACAGGAGCCGTCATCTACCGCAAACCGCTGGACGCAGACCCGGATTCGCCGTCGGAGACTCGCGTTAATAACTCCGAGCTGATGAAAGGATGAGACGCACAATCGAGTTCACTCTTATTGTGCACCACCAGAACTCCCACATTGCCGGGAACAAAGTACAATGATGGCCGATGATTAGCAGGATATAAAGACTATCTCCCGTAAGTCATCGGCTCACCAAGGTGTCAGCACTCTGCGTCTGCTGCCCGTTATAGACAGATATAAGACAGATGTTGTTATTTGCAGCTGGAGCTCATGTTTACATCTCATGTCTTGTCACCGTTGTACCGAGGTGCTGTTCATATTTTGCACTTTTTTTATGTGTTGCTGTATCCTGTGATTGCTTTGTGCATAGGAAGTCCCGGTCACGTGCTGTGCTTCAGCACCTGTTTGTAACTCCAGACATATTGCACTATACTTTACCTTTGCACTGTTACAGGTGAAGCTTTTTATGGAACTGAGACTTTTGAGAAGAGCCACATGTAACTGTTCCCTCAGCTCTTTTATTAAAAGACAATAGACGTGGATTTAATAAGGAACTGCAACGATGATGTAAGAAGTATTCACAGTGAAAGTACAAATACCACGCTGTAACAAAAAGTAAAAGTCTTGCATTAAGTGGTTTACTTCAATGTAAGTCATGAAGTGTTATCAACAAAATGTACTCAAACACCACAAATTAAAGTACTCATTATGCAGAATGACACCTGTCGCAATGATTTATTAAACGGTCACTGGTCATTGTTATGTGAACTGAAACTAATGCAGTCGTCCTGCTACACAGGTTCATATATTCAGGTATAGTTGAAACTGTTTCAGAGAGCTTTTTTAATTTTTTATTACATATATAAATATAGGTTGTGGTATATATTACCTTAAACTATATATATATATACAGTTGTGTGAAAAAGTGTTTTCCCCCTTCCTGATTTCTTATTTTTTGCATGTTTGTCACACTTAAATGTTTCAGATCATCAAACAAATTTAAATATTAGACAAAGATAACACAAGTAAACACATAATGCAGTTTTTAAATGAAGGTTTTTATTATTAAGGGGGAAAAAAATCCAAACCTACATGGCCCTGTGTGAAAAAGTGATTGCCCCCCCCCCCTGTTAAAACATAAATTAACTGTGGTTTATCACATCTTTGGAAAGCTGAGTTCAATTTCTCTAGCCACACCCAGGCCTGATTACTGCCACACCTGTTCTCAATCAAAAAATCACTTAAATAGGACCTGCCTGACAAAGTGAGGTAGACCAAAAGATCCTCAAAAGCTAGACATCATGCTGCGATCCAAAGAAATTGAGGAACAAATGAGAAACAAAGTAATTGAGATCTATCAGTCTGGCAAAGGTTACAAAGCCATTTCTAAAGCTTTGGGACTCCAGCGAACCACAGTGAGAGCCATTATCCACAAATGGCGAAAACATGGAACAGTGGTGAACCTTCCCAGGAGTGGCCGGCCGACCAAAATTACCCCAAGAGCGCAGCGACGACTCATCCAAGAGGTCACAAAAGACCCCAGAACAACATCCAAAGAACTGCAGGCCTCACTTGCCTCAATTAAGGTCAGTGTTCATGACTCCACCATAAGAAAGAGACTGGGCAAAAATGGCCTGCATGGCAGAGTTCCAAGACGAAAACCACTGCTGAGCAAAAAGAACATAAAGGCTCGTCTCAGTTTTGCCAGAAAACATCTTGATGATCCCCAAGACTTTTGGGAAAATACTCTGTGGACTGACGAGACAAAAGTTGAACTTTTTGGAAGGTGTATGTCCCATTACATCTGGCGTAAAAGTAACACGGCATTTCAGAAAAGGAACATCATACCAACAGTAAAATATGGTGGTGGTAGTGTGATGGTCTGGGGCTGTTTTGCTGCTTCAGGACCTGGAAGACTTACTGTGGTAAATGGAACCATGAATTCTGCTGTCTACCAAAAAATCCTGAAGGAGAATGTCTGGCCATCTGTTCGTGACCTCAAGCTGAAGTTCACTTGGGTTCTGCAGCAGGACAATGATCCAAAACACACCAGCAAGTCCACCTCTGAATGGCTTAAGAAAAACAAAATGAAGACTTTGGAGTGGCCTAGTCAAAGTCCCGACCTGAATCCGATCGAGATGCTGTGGCATGACCTTAAAAAGGCGGTTCATGCTCGAAAACCCTCCAATGTGGCTGAATTACAACAATTCTGCAAAGATGAGTGGGCCAAAATTCCTCTACAGCGCTGTAAAAGACTCATTGCCAGTTATCGCTTGATTGCAGTTGTTGCTGCTAAGGGTGGCCCAACCAGTTATTAGGTTTAGGGGGCAATCACTTTTTCACACAGGGCCATGTAGGTTTGGATTTTTTCCCCCCCTTAATAATAAAAACCTTCATTTAAAAACTGCATTTTGTGTTTACTTGTGTTATCTTTGTCTAATATTTAAATTTGTTTGATGATCTGAAACATTTAAGTGTGACAAACATGCAAAAAAATAAGAAATCAGGAAGGGGGCAAACACTTTTTCACACAACAGTATATGTTTGTAAACAGTACAATACTGTTCTGGGTTATAGCCTAATGATATTGATCATTATGAAAATGATAATTATAAGTGGATGGTTATTATGAACACTTTTTTCTTTAATCCTATTGCAGATCATCATCTAATTGACATATATACATTACACGAATATAAAGTAATGGAACTGGCAGCTTCCTGAATTACTGAATTGTTTTGACTGTTTCAAAATACAGCTGTTTCAAACAAATGACTGTACTAATGTTATTACCAAACTGTGCATTTAGTCATTCTTCGCCCTTCAGAGGGAATGAGACGCCACCAAACGGTGATGCTGGTGTCGGTTCAACACATAAGTGTGGTAGCTCATCCGGCTCTCAGGGACCACATGTTGATCCGTGCAGGGACAGAGAGACGAAGGGGGCTCATTGTTAAATTGTTCAGAAAATGATCGATGTTTTTTTAGGTACGGTCTTGATGTGCTAAACTGTGTCAAATAAATGCGTAAAAAAGTAATAATAATTCCCTCCGGAGTGTAGTGGGGTAGGCGTATAAAGTAGACTATCACAAAATGGTGCAAGTACCTCAAAAGTACAGTGCTGACACACACATCAGTCAACTATAGCAACAAAACTCTGTATTGATTTAATATGCTTCCCCTGTCATCTTAAACATGACTAATAATATCTCATCCACTGCAAAAAGAAAAGCTCTTTCTGAATGCTGATAATAATAATAATGTTAATAATACATATGAGGACGAATTTAGAAACGTACGGGATGCAACTGAACATCAGGGAAATTCTCTCTTGAACAGATTAGGTGATAGGCGAAAAAATGTGGCGGCATGATTTATCTGATTGTTTTACAGGCGTGCTTTCAAAAAGTTATTTAATGAGTACATCTTGACTGCAGCCGCTGACACCGGTCTGCAGAGGAGAACTCTCTGCCTGCTCAACCATGCAGGAGGTATTTATCTGCCCTGTGCTAACTTCACAATCTGCTGAGAAAATCTCAGGAAGCTGAAGCTGTCTGCGCCCGTCTTCATGAACAATCTCTGCAGCTCTCTGCAATGCTCCGGTTACAACTCGTCACCAAATACGGCACAGAGTCCACCTTCAGAAACTCTTTCTTCTTGGTAGTTTTTTTATTGGGATCTTTTTAATTTTATTTTTATTTTGCACAATTCAAACAATAGAATTAAAGATAAACAAACATAACAGAGATAAATGAATGGCAGAAAGCCAACTGGGTTTATTTGAAGCCTTCACCTATATAATATTAACATTTTACAAAATTACAAACAACATAAAATAACATGCATAAGACATTACATTACAAGAAAACAAACAACAAAAGAAAGAAAGAAAAGAAAATGTAATTGTGTCGTGTGTGTGTGAGCGTGTGTGAGCATCTTCTGCCATTTCAAAAGAAAAATCCAGCTTGTGAACACAGCCTGTGATTAAAGGAATCATTTCATTTCATGAATCATGCACCAATAAAATAACTGGTTACCAGTTCCTACTTGTAGAGTTGAAGAAAACAAGACTATGAAGAAGAAGGGAGTAACAGTTCAGAGGAACAGAATGACACTCTTAAGTATTGCATCATTTGTTCTTACTGTGTAATTGAATGATAAAAAGTGGAGAATGGTCAGTAATACCGTAATACAGTAATACTGGTAATACAATACCAGTAGGAACCATTAAGTATTTGTATTGGTATCGTATTCATAGAGCAAAATGACACTGTACAGTTTTTAAGTAGTATTTTAGATCTCCCGAGGATATGGAGAAATTTCGCAACATGTTCAGCTATTTGTCATCTGCAACGTTACGGGAAAGGGTGTAGCCGCTGGGTTCAGCCACCTCACTTCTCTGTGACTGTATTCAGGCAGCGGCAAAGTGAAAGTTAAGATGAATGCCTGAGAACCGTTTATCATTACTGGATCGATTGTTGAGGGTTCTTTGGAACTGCATCATTCGTGAAGCAGAGCATCCGGTCCTCTTCAGTTCTAATGGAGCAGGAAGTACAGGGCGAGGGCGTGGAGCCAACAGGCTTTCACCAAATGACTCATTAGATCCTTGACCTGGTCTGGCCTCGCAGCCGATACACGAGTTCCTGGCTTAGTGAAGAGATGAATTACTCTGGCTTAAGAATCAGACCAGGCTCGTGCTATAAACAACATAGAACATATGAGGCTATACTTTCCCAGTCCAACATTCCTTCTAGCCCATTGAAGTGTACACAAAAGCCACAAGTGGTTTCTGGTTGGACCGAAGGCAGAGAGATAATAATTCAAGCTCTACTTCTCGATTCTACACAAATACGATATGCACAAGCCCTTCTGCACCAAAGCAATATTGTGTAAACAGTGTGTGATTATGGTAGAAATACAGGAACTTTTGCAAAATCTCAACAGAGCATAGAGCGTCATTTTTCCTTCTCCTGTGGTTTCACACTGCAGAGGTAAGACATTCATTTAAAGAGACGGTTCACCCCAAACGTCCACATTCTGAACCAGAACCACTGAATATATTCCCGTCTTGTTCAGCGGGCTCAAAGGCTGACAGATGAGAGCTCGCTCAATCCGTGTGCTTTGTGCTTTCTGGGCAGGATCCCCGACACAAACCTGTGTTGTCTTCACAGATAAATATTACCATCTCGCTCATTTTCTCTCCCACTCATTCTCTGATTCTGTAAACTCAGTCGGGTAAGAAAAACACAGAGCTGCATGATGAATGTGCACGAGCACTTAGAGGAAACACAAGGACCGGCTACACCCAGAGACCCTGCAGTATTACACAGGGTTGGAAAATCAGAGACATTGCACCTCATACTGACTGTTGCAACACCTCTTCAGGCTGAATTCAGTTTTGTTTCACTGTCTGACATTGAGCCTGACATTAAGTTCTAATAGCAGGTGAAGTATCCATCCCTCAAAGTCATTTTCAGTGTACTGTAAGCTGGTGTACTGATTGATAGAAACAGTTAAAGTTGTTCACGTAGAGCAAAGAAGTGTACGAGTTGTTGTTTCTGTCCGTGGACTTGCATTAACTTGTACAGCTGCATCTATCTCTACACAGGTGTCTCTGAACCTTAAATGTTAATTATTATAACATGACAACAAAGGTCCCCTAACTGTCATTTCAACCAGAACCACCATTGTTTTCTAAACCTAACCAAGTTGTTTATGTGCCTAAAACATAACCAGGTGTTAATAGTTGAAATCAGAATGAAACATGGAAAAACATATTTTTTCCAATTAATTTGAAGGACTTTTTAAGAATTACAATATGGACATGATTCCACGGATACTGGTCTGACTACTTGCAACTTTAAAACCATTTTCCACCGAAATTATGTCAAAATGTAAACACACGGAAACCTGCTACAGGCGATAAACTCCTCCCCCATTGCCAGTAGATGAGTATTCTTTTCTGATTGTTTCTCTGGTGTTTCACGTTCGACATAACCATGCTGGAAAGCAGGGTTGGTAAACGGTGTAAATGTTACAGTGGGTACTTCTTCTTTATATCTGTTAATTATTCAGTCTCTCTTTCAAACTCTCACACCAGAGCTGGAGATTGTTGGAACAGTGGAAAGGTTTTATTTTGTTTCTGTCCAGTTTGAATAAAGTGTGTATTACGATCAGAGGTAAAATGTTTGGTTCTGTTGATGGAGTCTTGTGTCTTTGAGGAGTGCATATTAATTGCATGTATTAATTGAATATAATTCTTGTCCAGATCCCTGTTGATTGTATTTACCATATATTCACTTCAGCGTGCGTCACATGGCATTATGCCGGAAAAGGGGCAAAAATTAGCATTTACACTCGGGTGTCCAGTTTCTATCTGCTAGTCGGAGCTGGAGCCGATAAATACCTACTGTGAGCCATTTGTCCCATTTGTAATGAATGCCGATTGTAACCTTTCCACTGAAGACAGAAGACAGATGTAAGTGTTTTTTTGTCCAGTGCTAAAAAGGCTTTATATGACTTTAATGAGGATAAAAGTCAACAAAGGGGGAGGAAGGACTACTGAAAATGTTTAAAAGCTTTATTGCTGATATTCAAATCATATTTCTCTATTGGTTGCATATTGTATTAGCCGTTTCTTTATTTTGAACACCTGATGACCATGGCAGGAAGTAGAATACTTTCCACCAGATTCTCACATACCATTCTCAAGGTGAGCTTACGAAGCATAAGTCATTTATCTGCATGGCTCTCTTAAACATACAATCCGTATGTTCTGTTTAGTGGAGGTTTCATTCTGCAGCTGCTGCTGATTCAATGTCACAATTTATTTAGAGTGTGTGTTCCTGGATGAAAGAAATTCTGTTGTGTTGGTGTGTGAAGATGTAAAGGGTCTGTTGAGGTGTCGGCCCTCACAGAAGCATACATACTGAGCTAATACATTATAATTTCATTGGCATACAATGACAAAGGTGAGAAAATATAACAGAAAACCTAGTCTGTCTAAATCATCAATGATGAGAGGAAACCATCCTCATCTGTAGATCAATCATAGTTTACTGACTAATGTGCTCCATCAGGACTGTGTGGCGCATGGTTGTTACAGAATTGAATTAAGATTGCTTTCTCTCTGGCAACATAAGCAAACAACCCGGCAACTGTCATGAGATTGGGATTCTTGTTAAACTCCCATCTACACCCACAGAAAAGATATGAAATCTGAAATTTGAAAAATGTCAAACCACCATTATATTAGACTTTTTTTATAATGCTGATGAATTATTAGAATAACACTGAAAAAACGATAACACCTAAACGTCCATTTATTAGCTTTTGTGGAGCTTTTGATCACAAAAGACGTTTTAATGTCAATGTCTTAAACAGTAGCTTTTAGCAGTGAAGCTCCTCACTGCTAAAAGCAAAAAAAACGTCCTCGTTAAAAGCTTTGAAAATTACATAACTAAAAATGTGTTGAGATTCTTTTTTTCTTACAATGGATTATTCTTGGGGACCTCAGTGTGTAGTCCTTGTATGTTGAATATGTTGGTAGGAGGAAGGTTCAGGATATTTTACTGTGAACATCAAGTAATGAGCTAAGCAATAATATAACATTTTTGAGATCACTTCCCCTTTTCAATGTTAATAAACACATAGTCCGCTGATAGCCTTTGTATGCCATGTTTAACTTGACTAACAGATGCCTGAATGCATCCATCATAATTACATATTTACAACAAATTAGACAATTTCTCTCATCAGAGGCCTCTGTCTGAACTCATTAAGATATGAGCACGGAAGCAAAACGTCTCACAACTCACAAAACACAAAAATTGAGGGAGAAGAACAAAATCATCCAAGCCCAAAGTGGATAACAGTTTTCATGTGATTACGGTTCTGATCACACCAGCCCCCATCTAATTATTACATGTGGGTCAGAAGTTTAACGGGCCGCTGTGCCATATGTGTGTATTTTTCAACTTCATTGTCCACCAAGACTCAAGGTATTTGGACCAAGCAGTTTAAAATGCTCAGTTTTTTAACTAAAGACGACTTATTTAATTTGCAATAAAGCCAGTAAATATATACAGGTTGTGAATTCTCTTCATTCTCTTCATGTTCAAACAGGGACATCTTGCCCTTATTTGGAAACATCCAAGGTCGCCAGGACGATGGTGTCGGTCCACAGTCCATACACCATCTCGCCATCTACCCTCTTGACAGAGAACTCATAGCACCTGTCAGGTATCAGGTTGTTGACCTGTAGGTTGTACGAATGGCATGTAGATTTAATAACGCCATACTCAGCAGTGGTTGGGTGAAGGCTTTTGACGTGGATCTCAAAGTCTTGGTTCAGGTCCTGAGACTGCTCGCCTGCGACTTCCCAATGCAGATGCACGGTGTTGGATGTCACACGCGACTTCAATCTGTTGATCATCACCGGCAACTTGATGTCCAGTGATGCCCTGAGCCGTCTTGTTGTTGGGGATGAGTGGGTTCGGCAGGTGCAGCGGGCCCAGATTCCAAGTCAATCTGCTCTCAAAGTCGTTCAAGTACTGGTGGGTTTGCAGGAGCCTCTGCTGCACGCCTGCTGCCGCGTCACCGTCCGCCAAACCCTGGTCGTACCTGACGATAAAGGCCTCCAGCTCCCGACAGCCCCTGATGATCTCCTCGTAGAGCAGTGCCTAAAGAGTGAGGAGGAGCTTCACCTGGGTGTTTGCCAGGGCCATGGTCCCGCTGCAGCCTCTGCATGTCAATGAGAGTCCACAGCAGGCTGTCAGAGACGTGCATGGTGTGCCGCTGCACATCCGCAGTCGGCGGCAAATCGTGTCGTGGCGTTGGATTTCAAGGAAGTACGAGCTCCTCTGCATGAGCTGCAGCTCCTCTTGCATCACCTTGGAAATACATCACATGAACTTGTGAATCCACAGGAGCTCTGCTCAACCTCTCACACTAAACATCACATCCCGAGGACAGCACATTCATACCAGTAACGGCTTTTCAAAGTTTAAAGAACCTGCAAACCGACACAGGTGTTTCCAATAACTCGGGTTGATTAGACCTCTAGCTAGCTCAAGGTCGGCTGGAGCTAGGATGTCTTTGAACTTGTGTGGAGCTCGAGGAACTCGTGCAGAGGCTTCAAGACTGTTCAGACCAACATCAGCACCGCATGAAAAAATGCAGACCCCTCATCTATTCAATGAGGACACTGCTTGGCAGGGGTGTGCGAAAAATATTGATACGCTTCAGTATATTATATACAATATTATGTTTTGTGATGCTGGATCCATTCTTAAAAACACTTGATTTTTAATTGATAGTTTACATGCAAAGATTCTTCGCAGACGGCGGCTCAGATTGCATAAAAAGTACTATGATGTTAGATGTTACGAGGACTGTGATACATGCAACTGCAGATCCCACTATAAAAAAATGTTAATTATTTTGTTGTGTTGTGTTGTTTGTGTTCTCTATGCAATGACAGTTATCGTACAATTGATTTCTAAAAAGTCGCAATATATAGCCCTGCTTACAGTACCCCAATATATTGAATACTGAACCCTGTATCAGATTCTCGCCAATACTCAGCTCTTATGTATTGACACAGGGGCGGTGATGATGCTGAGGGCCCCAGCAAAATAGTTGACCGCAACTCAACTGCAGGCAGTGCACTTTATTGGCCAAAAAATGCACAGGCATGTCAGAAAAAATCTGCTAAAGGTCGGTTGTTGTGTATTTACATCAATGCTATCATGAAGTACCTTGTGTGGAACTGTGGAAACATATAAATGTGGCACTGCTGTTTACAGACCCTTATTTGCTCATATTTGTTCCTTCTTTACAAATAATTTGAAAAACTAAATGCTCTGGGATGTTTATGAGAGCCAAATAACAATCAATCCAAATATTTGTTGTTTTTTCAGACCCAGCCATCCAAAGTGTCTCAGTAGTGTCTGAGGCCGTGTTTGATACATCACGATTCACATAGTGAACCTGAAATTGAGAAAAATGAATACGCTGTTATATTTCTACATCATACGTTAATGATGAAGGAATGTATGATTCATCTTCTTTTATTGCATATCTTGAATGTTGACCGGCGAAGGGAATTAAAATTCCAAACAATACAAGTATGAACCTAAAATGATCGTGATATGCCCCCTTTACTCTAAAGATTAGAATACCTTATAATGTCAATGTGCTAGAATGTCACAAACATAGAAATAAGGTGAGTACATTTTTGTATTTTTAACGACTCTGTTGGAAAGAAAAGCTCCGGTCAAGCTAACTCAACCATGCTAGCTTACTTGAACCAACAAGCTAGCTAGTGTGACCTCACAAACGTTTTAGTAATTGGCAGTCACTCATCAGGGCACTGCACATGACATCAGTAGAATAAACCTTATTCACATCAACCTATGTTATAAGTCCACAATGCCAATGCCTACATGATTTCCTTAAGTTAACAGGTTTAGCCTGATACAGCTAACAAGGTAATGCCAGATAATAGCTATAAAATCATCTACCTAACATACTCAGCAGGGTACTGACTATTTAACATATTTCCAATTTACATTTGTTTTAGACTCCTGTTGCTATGTTATATAGTTCAATGGCAACTCCTGTTTATAGTTAATCGGCATGGTTACAGTTTATCTTGCAAGATTATGGAATGACTTCCATTTTTAAACATTTTTTGTAAATATACCTGTGAGTCATATTAGAAAAGGAATTTCTTTAAGACCACATTTTGGAAGTCATCATTTTGGAAGTGAAACGTGTCGGAGCTGCAGTTCACTAGCTGGTTTAGCAGAAGCCTCATAGCTTGAATGTTTTTTTTTACCTTTTTTTATGCACAAGACAGCATTCACAGAAACACACGGAAGATTAAATACGCATCAAGTAAAACAAACCTGTTGTTCATACACTAGCTACCATACAAGGTGCCACCTGCTCACCAGGAGAGATAAACATTCTGGGTTCAGAGACTCGACCACCAACACTTCCCCATATGTAAACATGACAGGGATCAACCCTCTGACTCCTGATTAGTGGACATCGCTCTACCTCCTGTGCCACAGCAGCACCCAAGTGAATATTTCTGAACGAAAGAAAACCTTTAGATAACCACCACCTTAAGGTCTTTATACAGTCACTCAAAAGAAGCATTCATCTGCTAACAATGCTATCAACAGCAGCCAAAAGGTGAGTTTGGATAGAAATAGTGATAGATAATTCCTACCCTTGGCTCTGAGCCTGTTAGCCTTTTTTATTGGAAATCTGATGGGAATTCCACTAATCACAAAACAATACGTACAGCACAAAAGTCAGGATTAGTATGACCTTTTCTCCACAATAGAAAACAGAGCATGTCTGCTGATTGACATCTATAACAGATGTAGGAAATGAAAGGCCTATCAGACCATCTCCATCAGTCCAATTAGAGATCTGCAAATGATCTGAGCCCAGTGGGGCCCAACAGGGCTCTGGTCAGTGGGATTGAATCTGTCTTTGGGTTCTAGGACATCAGCTCAGATCGGGTTTCAAACCCTAAACCGTTTAGGCTATGAAATTGTGAGACGTGTGTGTGTGTGTGTGTGGGCTGACGTTGAAGATGTTGACTCACTTCCGGAGACTGGTAAGACATGTTTCACTTTTCAAATGACATTCATAGCTGTAATGGATAGATGAGTGATTTACCTGGAAGTGTTGGAGGGGATGCTGACTCAACCTGTGGGCCTTGTTTTGGGCTTTCAAATTGAGCAACACGGCAGCTATGGAGTATTTTGTGATTGTTGTCAAGCAGTGTATTCTGTTTTGTACCAGCTGTAAAGTGTACCAGGCTGTGGGAGTTGGTTGATAGAAGAATAAAAATGACCAGCAGTCTGTACAGACAGAAACACATTCCTTCCCTGGTTGCCATGTCCACTGCTGTCTAGGCCACAGCTGCTCTATAGCTATTGTATTGAATCATAAAAGAATAAATGTCACTGCTGGGTGATATGCACCTATGATCCCCCGTCTCTTTATATAATGTTTGATGGTGCCGTGTGGATGGTAACTCCATTCAATTGGCTTCTGAATTCTATTTGAGTGCTTGAATTATTACAGATCAGTGTTGATATGAATCAATGTCACAACACAAAACAAACAATCATCAACCCATCATTTTAAAGTTTCTACAACATGCATTGTCTGAACGGACAAGCTTTTCAACAGAATCTAGATTTATTACATATGATGCTGTAAAAATGTTTCCGGCACACCACAGCTACAAAGGCAAACTCTAATCATGATTTGCCTCATTTCCTATTACCGCTCTACTAATGCCATCGATACAGGTATAAACATCCAAAAAATAACGCTTGAACATGTACTGATTAAACGAAGTGATTAAACCTTTAGTCTGGAACTCAACTTACTGTTCATGACATAACCGCACCAATCAAGCCTGACAGGTTTGTACATGACTAGATTATTCAATTCATGCTTTCGGTCCTGTGTTACATCTAACTGTGTGTGTTGACTGCGTAGAGAAATCATCACAACTCTCCGCCCACTAGAGAAATTGTTCTGTCATATTTCAGTTTAACAACATGAGGGAATTTCCATTTGTCCTCAAAGTCGACCTAACTCGATTCTCCACATCTGTCCACCAAAGACAGACCACCAGTGTTTTCACCTGGACCTGGAAATAGTTACTTATTCAGCCTAAAATACACTAAAGCATCTGCTGGTAAAATAACAACAGGTCACTGGGCGAGACGGTGTCCATGAGCTGCTTCTGTCTCACCACAGGTCACTACCGATGAGATATTTCTCATGCTGGGTTCATCACACACTCAGCAAACCTGCAGGCAGATTGTTTTTATGCTGGCTTGAGCCACTATTTGAAACTCTGCAGAAATGCAAAATCTCGGCAGGCTCCCATATTGCCACAGAATGTTGTTATGCTAATTTTATGGATTTTGACAAATTTTAAAGCTCACTGTTTGTTTTTCTTCGTCATACAGACTTGTGACAAGACATTCTTTCATACCCCTCACTTTGTTTCAACACATTTTTGTGCTAAAAACATAATATCATACACCTCCATGAAGCATTCAAGATGTGGACATAGGTGATCCTGGGAAAGGACATGAAGACAATTTAACACTGCTTTTTAACCTGGATACTTTCTCCAGAGTTTCTGTGCCACTGAGCAACTTCCATATTAATGAAGGGGGCTCGATGTTGTATCCAGTTCTCTTTCTACATCCCGACTCTACCGGAGCGCCTAGCCTGCCAAAAAGCCAGAATAAGAACACGATTCTCATTTGACTTTCCCGCGGAGCAAAGTATAAAAGCTTTATATGACATGTGTATGGGCCCACTGTGTTTGGTCTATTTATTCTTCAAATCAAAAGTTTAAACAGGAATTTCAAAAATCGTAAAAGATACTGTAATATTACTTAGTAATTATAGTAGACTATATATGATATAGATGGGTGAATGGGTATGAATGGTTAGATAGGGGGCACCTTGCATGGTAGCCCCCTGCCATCAGTGTATAAATGTGTAAAAGCGCTTTGAGAGGTCAGACAACTAGTAAAGAGAAATACAAGTACAGTCCATTTACCAAGTACAAGTACAATATGGCAGGTCCCGCTGATTAGGACGTCCCGACCCACAGCGGCGTTGGGGAAACATTAAACTTAAAGATTGCAATCAATTGTTGCTAGTCAGTATAATCTTAACAATGTGTTGACCACAAAACCAGAAGCATACATCTGAAGTGTCTGTATAAGCAACTTTTTATACAACAGTCTCTGTTGTTTTTTTGAGCCTTCATTTCTGTAGTATTAGTTTACATTTTGTGTAAACAGAAAGCAATGAGAGTTGGGTTTTAACG